TTATAAAGGTTCTCATGATCATCCTAAACCCCAACTGAGCCGTCGATTTACTCCTGGTGCTCTTATGTCCATCCAAGAAGATAAATGTGAGAAAATAGCTCTTTTAGTATTGTTTCCCTCTCGATGAGCATAAAGTGGTAATTTTGAAAAAAAAAATCTTTAATTTTATTTTGAGTCAATCTTTATCAATTCTCAGTCTTTGTTGAGGACAAGTTCAACGCCAATGCCCAGACCAGTAAAATTGAGCCCATTAGTACTCCCGTATCACCTCAGCAAGTGGATGCTGATGGTCCTGAAGGGGCAGTTTCACAGATGCAGGGCACTAATGATGATATGGATGAGGATGATCCATTTGTGAAAAGAAGGTAAAGCTAATGGAAAGCCTTCAATATATTCCCGCTAATAGATCTGATTAAATGGTTAAAACTTTAAGCAGGAAAATGGATGGTGCAGTGGATATAACACCAGTGATTAAGCCAATCCGTGAACCACGCGTTGTTGTTCAAACTGTCAGTGAAGTTGATATATTAGATGATGGGTACCGGTGGCGCAAGTATGGACAGAAGGTGGTCCGAGGCAATCCTAATCCTAGGTATGCAACACTATATGGTTTGTAGTTACTTGAACATATGACCTGTGTTACATGAATGTCGTGTACACAGACACTTAAATGTGGTATGCAACGAGTATTTGACAAAGGTCGTTACTGGTTGTTGGTTAGTCTCTAGACGATCGAGTATTTGGTAGGTGTGTAGTCTAAGAAAATATGATACTTGTGATATCATGCCCTTCTCCTGATGAGAGGCAAAAGCCTAAAAGAGACAATAGGATCCTAAATCCATCAATATCCAAGATCTTGCCGTTGTTGGGTGTTTAATAGGAGTTAGAGACCACTTATTGTGAAATTCATCAAACATTCGCATGTATCATGGTTTATCTACACTAATCCACATACATTACAATTCTTGTAAATCTCTCGTAAGCTTTTGTAACACGTCCATGCATAGAGGGATGCTCTATGGTGGAAATCTGTAGAAGCTATGGGTTTCCAGCATTTTCTTTTCCCTTTAACCTGCGAAGTCCATGCATTTCCAAAATTCTTAATTCACCTTTGAGTTTCTTTTAATATTCTCTAATCATGAGTGGTCAATATTTTTTCTCCCAACTTCCGTGTCATGCAGGAGCTATTATAAGTGCACCAATGCTGGATGCCCTGTCAGGAAACATGTGGAGAGGGCTTCTCATGATCCCAAAGCTGTTATCACCACTTATGAAGGAAAACATAATCACGACGTACCTGCTGCAAGGTCTAATAACCATGAAATGGCAGGATCCACGCCTGTAACTGGCGGTTCAAGGATCAGGGCAGAAGAGACTTACTCTATTAATCTGGATCTAGGTGTTGGTTTTGGATATGGTGTGGAGAATGGGAACAATAGGCAACTTCACACCGTCCATAACCAAGTTCAAGTTTCACGTTCCGGTATGATGGTAGTGCAACCAGCTGCAATTGCAGCGCGCTATGGTATTGTAAATGGTGGCATGAGCCGGTTTGGACCTATAGATAATCATGTGCAAGGACATGGTTTTGAGACTTTGCCTTTACAACCTTCTACTCAATTTCCTCAAAACTATGGAAAGATACTCTTGGGCCCATGATTGTTTCTACCTCCATGTATAAGCTTAACAATAAGAAGCCACCATCTATTTTTTCTTGAATATTGGTGGATTACAAAAGACATCTCTAGTTGAAGTATAGATACTTGCCCTCATACTTCTAGGACCCATCATGCTGTATTATACAACTGCTCAGAAAAATGTTGCACTTCCTTTGTACATACCAACAGTATTTTAGGAAGTGAACAACAGTGGATGTCTGAGCAAATATCCACGCCTCCAATATCTTTATCCCCATGAATAGGCAAATTCTATGTACTGTAACTAGGAGGCAAACACATGGCAAATGTATTTTTTGAAAATAATATGGTAAAGATAATATAAAAGTGCTTTGGGAGACCTTCATCTCTTTCTTTTCCTACACGTGATTGTTATCAATCGTGCAAATGGTGATTGCAGAATCTCCTTTACTGGTTTCCCCTATCGCTCTAGCATACATAACCATAGACGTGCGTTTAATCCCGGCAAGAGGCTATTTGCGGGTTTTAAGTTATATATGCTAACATTCTAAAAACTTTTTATGATATACCAGTGCAATTTAATCAGTTGTGTCCCATTGAGATTTAACCCTTTGTCATTTTGATTCGTCTCTAAAGAAAAAAAAAATTGTTTGTATTATTATAGATCAACTTAACATGATAGTGTCAGTTCACAAAACTTAAAGGAAAGAAATATATAGCAGGATTAGTGTCCAGCCTAAGGATCTTTATAAGTGATAAAAAGGTCTGAATAGAACGAAATGGATATAAGAGATTTATAGTAATAGCTTGCTATAGCTGGTTAAATTGAACTAATGTTGTAAAGAATCTTTATGCCATCGGTGCATATAACTTAAATCTTTCAATTAATTGTCAGCTCACAACCACATGCTGCAGGTACTGCACACCTCAATATCACAATACGATGCAATGTGAGAGAAGAAAAATATGGAACAGATTCTAAGAAGAAGATTATAGTACGGTGCTCTTAACTGAATACAAACAGAAAGGTCTACCTTTTACCATTATCAAGCTAGAAGTTACATGCACCTACTTAGGGTAGGATACTATTTCCAGGCACAAGAGGCAACTAAATCTCGATTCATCCAGCCAAGATAAAGAGCGCCATTTCTCTCATCAAGCGTATAACTTTGGTAGTAATTCTCCAGCAGGGTCTTGATTGTAGCATTTACTGAGGAGCTTAATGGATATGGATTGAACCCAGCCATAAGAAATCGTGACCTCCACCTTTCAAGAAGCTCATGACGCTCCACTCTTTCTGCCCCTTCACATGCTATTATGTTCACAATTTCCCGGGCCAGGCAATGCTGCTCAACGTTGATTCGTTGCTTATGGTCCCTAGGTAGAGCAACATCTATTGATTCAAATATAGATAGGTAGTAGTTCAGTGTCTCCAAAAACCTGGGAAAGAACTGTACTGTATTAGTGTTGGACTCTTGCTCCACTAAGGTCACAATCTTGGGAGACAAGCTCTTAACCATCCTCAGAAGTCTGTCTCTGTGATTTTTAGTGCCAACACTCTCATCAGGCATATGGTGCAAGACAAGTGCAAAATTCACGGCCAATGGTTCGCCAGGCCGAACCTTTAGGTGCTCAATCTCAACATCGGAGCAAGAAGCAGCCACGGAATGAAATTCAAAAGGTACATTGCAAGATGCAGCAATGCTTGATAACCTCCGACCAACAATTTCAATCCCTCCTCCTCTGGCATAAGCCGACGTGGAATCATCAATTCCTGTAATGCGGATTCGTGGGGGTCCACCGGGCCGGGCTGCAAGAGCATGGATTAGGGTGATCCACTGGCTACCCTGAGCAATCTGAAAATCAATTATATGAATTGTGTTCTCTTCTTTCACGGCATCAACAATTGCACCATTTGCCGACAAATATCCAAACTTGAAGTATGGGCAGATTTCATAAAGCAAATGCATGTATGACATTAGCTCAACGCTAGTCGGCTCTTTGCACCGTAGGGCCTTGTAGATGGAGCTTCCTGAGGAGGCCAATCTGGCAACTAATCCTTCCAGCATATACGCTCCTAAGCGTTGCATTGGAGAACCGCAAACTGATACCACTGTGCGTAGTTCTGACATTAACCATTCAGCTGTTACTAAATTATTATCTGCTATTGCTTTAGCACAGGCAATAAGCACTTGTTTCAAATCTCCATTAGGCATCATCTCCATCATATCAACCCATTTATCTGACTCCGACGAAATCTGATTGGCTGCAGCCAATGGAGTAGTATTATATGACTCCAAGCTTTCTGAATCAGGCCCCAGCATTGCAGTTTCGAGTTCCTTTAGCTTGTGCTTCAGGCCAGTACCATCACTAGTGAAGCACGAACTGTTACCTGAAGAGTGGTATGTGTCATTAGGAGAATGATGCATGTCCGAAGGACATGAATCAGAACCTTGGTGCATCATGGAATTGTCACCAGCAAAGAAAGTATCAACAGGAGGAGAATCGGAGACAAGTTCATTAGAATTTCCAGTGGATGATTCAACATAGCAGTATTGGTTGTGTTTTAAGGCAGAGAATTGTGTCTGCTGACCACAATCAGCATAAAGTAATTGGTTGCTATTCGGGTTGTTAATGGAAGGCAGGGAAAAAGATTCTTGATCCTCTACGGGTTGGTTATAGAACCTGTTAAACTCATTGATATCCTTCGCGTTTTGAGAAGGCCTCATTGTGAAATCAATTTAGATATCCAGAAGACAATAGTACCAATTCCAGCATACAACCGGGTTGAAATCGTTAACAGAAAGTTCTCCAGCTCCAAGCTTTAGCATTCACATACATAACAGATAGAAATTATCAATAATGAGTAATGAGGAATCTGAAAAAACACCAACTATAAAGAACTCTAACTTAATTTAGGAGTGTAAAGTGTTGCAGAAATGTTTTTGTTCACAAGTCCTAAAAAGCAGTTGGACCAATGTTTTAGGAGCGCTACCTTTTCTTTTCATAATTTTTTTAAAAAGGTCTAGGTTGAAGGGTTAGGTCCCTACAGCCTTGGCCCTTTAGATCTTCCATAAAAACACTGAAAACCAAAACTTTCATGATTATAAATGAAATTCATTAAAGTCATCTCAGATTTACTGGCAAACAAATAACTCCCATCAACAGAGAATGGAAAAAGCAGTTTCAAATGCTCTATAAAAGTAACAAACAACTGAAGCTTACCACTTGCATACTAACATCAGATATTAGCTAAACATAAATAAAATAACCCCAAAAAAGAACCAAGAACAAAAAAACGAAAGGGAAGAGTAAGTAAGACGCATAAGGGGTTTCAAGTTTATACAAAAAGATCCAATTTTTTCAAGAATTCAATCTACCTAAATCTTTAGAGGAAAACGGGGTTTTAAGTTTATACAAAAAGATCCAATTTTTTCAAGAATTAAATCTACCTAAATCTTTAGAGGAAAACGGGGTTTTAAGTTTATACAAAAAGATCCAATTTTTTCAAGAATTAAATCTATCTAAATCTTCAGATTATCACATGAAGTAAAAAAGGAAGAAATACCTGATACTCAGAGGAGATATCTTTAAGCAGAAGTCCAACAACACAAGTGAAGCAATTATCAAAAAATGCTAACTTTAAACACGGCATATTCCATTTTGGGAAGCCCTCAAGTCTTGGCCACTAGTGGTGAAGAAGCCAGCTGAAAAAATGACCAATGAAAGTCAAAACAAAATTTCACAGCAATGGGGCCTCAAGGAGAGCATCAATCTTGATTTTCAGCTTTGTAATAATATTCCGGAAAAAATAGTTATGCTGATTTTCGTCGCTTAACTTCAGAAGATATTTTTAGTCAGCATTAAACGTACAATAATCATTGACTATTTGACTCCATAATATGGATTAAGGAGTAGCGAGGTAGGCGAGTGCAACATTAGCTGAAGGCCCAAAAAAAAAAGTTACATGGTGTTTGCATTAAATAAATAAATTACAAAATTTTGTGTGGTTATACATTGTTTATCAGTTGATCTTAATTAGATAGTACTATGTATTCTTATTTCTTACAATATTATGATTAAATTTACTGATAATATTAAATGCGAGAAATCAGAAACTTTTGACTGTTACAAGAACCCCATACCTAACTCCGCGGCAAAAGAATAACTATCGCATTTATTATTAGCAAATTAATGCCAACCTTTGGCCATCTCCTAATAGTAAATAATGTTCTACGTTAAATAATCTCCATTCGTTGTCCATAACTGACCGTCTTACTTTCTCTCTTCTTAAAATTGTAGTAGTATCTGTTTTTAAAGATAAACTTTTTAGCAACACTTGTAGTTTGTCATTACTCAAGGAATTTAGTATAATATTGCACCTACTTTTGTTTAAACAACATTCAAATTATTCAAAAGAAAAAGTTTTTTTCCAATTTCATTTGGTATATCCAACTCTCTTTTTGTAATAACTGCATCTAAACAACAGAACACACTTTCACTGGATGAAGAGAATACTGTATTTCAAATTTAACAATTAAGTAGCAACTATTTCTTTCTATCTTTTATTTTTGTAAAGGCAATTTGTTTATATTTGATAAGTTATGTTTTGATAATCTAACAAGTTTAATGATTAGAACCAGATTGGGAACCTGTTACACATACTCAAGGTGCCAAAACACAACAACTTTCAAATCGGGCACAAGTTCAACAACTAGAATCAAAGAGACGACAGAGGGAACATATGGACATTAGTTCCCCTGCTGACTGTACCAGTCAACTGCTCACAGCTGTAAAGTCGATGCAACTGTTCCTCTGCACACACGCAACAATGTGAACAGTGCAACAGTCACCTTATGGGGAATGCCTTGTACCAGATATTTGCTTGCATCATCTAAGTGACATCACTTGGATAGTATTAACATGAAGCAATGAAGAAAATATACACTTGCACATCCGATAATTAATCAAGTTTCCTCTCAAGTGTGTTGTCATCTTGCAAGTAACTTGCAGGCTTCAAGAGCAAAGAACAACATAACGAAGGACCGGTTTCCAACATTGTGTTATTACATGTCCTTAGTTATGTTGCACCTTTGTTAGAGTGATTTACTTGTAATTCCTACTTAGCTTAGTTAGAAGCATTGTCTAGGAAACCATTTGTAAAACCATAAACCTTGTGTTTGTATCTTGGCTAGAGTTAATCGAGTTGTGAGCTTTGTAATAGAGTTATTACAAAGAGGCTTGTAATGGAGTTATTACAAGTGAGTGAGAGATTAAGAGTTTAATTCCTAAGTAATAATAGGTTGTAATCTAAAAGTTGCTCGGTTGGTGAAGTTGAAATCCTACGAGTGAAAGTCATGGTTTTTAATCCCGCGAGCTGGGAGTTTTCCATGTAAAACTCTGTTGTATCACTTACTTATCTATTCAGTTTGGTGGACCCTAAGTTTCTATCAATTGATATCAAAGCAGGTTCTTTCTATCAGGCTAACACCTAGAAAGGATCCAAATGGCTGCTCCACCAAACTTTGAAGAAGGTCAATCAACCTACAGACCACCTAGATTCAATGGACAGTACTATAGATAGTGGAAGACAAGGATGCATGATTTTATCATGGCTGAAGATTCAGAGCTCTGGGATGTTATCTGTGATGGTGCCTTCGTCCCAATGAAAACCATTGGTGAACTAGCAGTGACAGTTCCCAAGACAAGGAAGGAGTACAATGATGTTGACCGCAAAGCTATAGAGAAGAACTTCCGAGCAAAAAAGATTCTCCTCTGTGGTATTGGACCTGATGAATACAACAAGATCTCTGCCTATCAATCAACCAAGGAGATCTGGGACTCTCTCCAAACGGCACATGAAGAAACAACTCAAGTCAAGCAGTCGAAGATCGACATGCTAACCACTGAGTATGAACTCTTTAGGATAAAGGATGATGAATCCATTAAGGATATGCACACTCGATTCACCTCTATCATCAACGAGCTCTACTCTCTATGAGAGATCATTCCAAGGAACAAACTTGTTAGGAAAATACTCAGTGTATTACCTAGTTCCTGGGAAAACAAAGTAAATGCTATCACGGAGGCAAAGGATCTGCAAAAGTTGACCATTGATGAACTCATTAGAAATCTAAAGACCTATGAAATGAAGAAGAAGAAGGACCATGAAAGAAGAGAGCCCAAAAAGGAGAAGAACCCGGTCCTCAAGGAAGACAATAACGATTCAAGTGGTGAGGATGCTGACATGGCCTACCTGACGAAGCGATTTCAGAAAATGGTTCGTAGGAATGGAGGCATTCCAAAAAGGGGAAGCTCCAACAAGCCAAAAGGCTATGACTTGTGTCATAAATGCAGTAAGCCAGGACACTTCATCAAAGACTATCCTCTCCACAAGCAAGACCCGTACAAGCACAATACAGATAAAACCGTCAAGATGAACTCGGTTCCTGACAAAAGATTCAAGAGAAAAGAAACCGCTAACAATGTGGTGAAACAAGCTCTTGCTGCATGGGAAAATTCTTCCAGCGAATCTGGAGAAGATGATGAACAAGGTGATACCTCCATGATGGCAGTTGAAAGTGAAGCAGCTGAATATGACTCTATATTTGCCCTGATGGCAAAATCTGTCGATGATGAAGATGATGATGATGATGATGATGATGATGATGATGATGAGAGCAGTGAAAGGAATCAACCAGAAATAGTATATGGATTGTGGTTGTTCTAAGCATATGACTGGAAGCATCGATGATTTTCTTTCACTCAAAGCTCTGCAAGGAGGGAGTGTGTCCTTTGGCAATGGCAAAAAAAGGATACATTATGGGAGTAGGAAGAATTGGAAAGACGCTCACTCACTCAATTGAGAATGTGTATTATGTGAATGGCTTGAATATAGCCTACTGCGTGTCTCTCAAATCTACGACAAAGGAAACAAAGTGGAATTTGTGTCAAAAACCTGTACAGTCACAAATTTCGTGACTGGTGAAGTGGTTCTGGTGGCAAAAAGATACAAAAACATTTATGTTATTGATTTTGAATCCTTGCACAATGGGTATCTTACATGCTTGAGTGGCAATGCCGAACTGTGGCACAAAAGATTGGGCTATGCAAGCTTTACATTGCTGAACAAATTGGTCAAGAATGACCTGGTTCATGGGCTGCCTAAGTCAAGTTTCAAAGATCACAAGGTGTGTGATGCATGTGTAAAAGGAAAGCAAGTCAGGTCCTCCTTCAAACCCAAAAAGGAAGTGAGTACCTCAAGGCCACTTGATCTACTCCATACGGATCTATGTGGGCCTATGAGGGTGCCAAATAGAGGAGGAAAGAAGTACATTTTCGTCATAGCGGATGACTACTCCAGATTCACCTGGACTTTGTTCTTCAGAACCAAGGATGAAACTTTTTAAGTGTTTGCTGCTTTTGTGAAGAAGAGCCATAATGTCGTGAGTCTAAGATCTGATCACGGCACAAAGTTTGATAACGCAAAATTCGATGAATTTTGTGCTGAAAATGGTATAAGTCATAATTTTTCAGCTCCAAGAACACCCCAACAAAATGGTGTTGTGGAGAGGAAAAATAGGACTCTTGAAGACATGGCAAAGACAATGCTAATTGACAGTGATGTTGCAAAACGTTTCTGAGCAGAGGTAGTCAACACTGCGTGCTACTTGATGAACAAGTGCATGATCAAGTCTCTCTTGAACAAAACCCCGTATGAACTGCTGAACGGGAGAAAACCCAATCTAACACATTTGAGGACGTTTAGCTGCAAATGCTTCGTTCTCAATAATGGGAAGGAAGCACTGGGAAAATTTGATGCCAAAAGTGATGAAGGAATCCTTCTTGGCTATTTATCACAAAGCAAAGCCTACAAGGTCTACAACAAAAGAACTCAATATGTTGAGGAAAGCATACATGTGATCTTTGATGAATCATACCTCCTATGTGACAAAGATTCACATGATAAGGTTGATCAGGATGGAGAGCAGTCAAAGGTTCCTGCTGAAGTCATTGATATGGCAAATGGAAAGGCTAACATGATGAGTCAGGTCAAGGAATAAAATGAAGATGGTGCAGCTAACTATCCAACTGATACAGAGGAACATGGTCCCTCAATCACAACAACTGAAGCAGAGAACAGAGTTATTGATACCATGCAAGGAACTCCTGATGCTGAGTAGAGAAGTGACACTCATGTCAACAATGGCTCTCATTCATAGGAACCTGGATCCTCTCGTAATGAGATTCAGGCGTGAACAAGAAACACAAAAGTTCACACCCTCTTCAAAATATAATCACTCCTCTTGACTAAGGGATTCAAACCTTATCAAGTCAAGAAACTGTCATGCCCCAACCTCAGGAAGTGCGACCGATACTCAACCGAGTGAACCCGGTCGAGCAATCTTGTTAGATACTTTCTACCCAACTCACCCATGATCAAGAGAAGACATGATTTCATTAATTAGATAGTAGGAAGATCATATATACAATACTAAATCGTCTCATTGGTTACATCATTTTTAAGTTTCAAGATACACACATTCTTATGATTCGAGTGGAACAAGAGATCAAAACACAACATAATCTATTTGAATTTTGTAGCACCCATATACAACCCACATAGTATCTACAGAGCATCTAAAAGATACAAAAGAGTGTTATGATAGTGCCGGCAACAAGGCCCCGGCTATACCTCGAGACGTGATAATAATATGAACAAAAGATATAATACGTGACCCAGGGATGAAGTGGAGCTCACCAAGTCTGCTGGGAAGAGGATGTACCACTATCGCTGATTAACACTGCGTGCTATGGAACCACCTGCATCTATTTAAAGATGCAGTGCCCCCGGCAAAAGGGACGTTAGTACTGTCGAATAGTACTAG